ATATTCGAGTACAGATTAGTTCGAGAAACATCAGATTGTATAGAAAATGGCATGAGTCGAACTGTGCAGCTGCTGGTTAGTAGTTCGTAAGTTTGTGAAGAATTTGTTGAAATCGTTGATCTTCCACAAATTTCAGAGGTATTATGAGAAGTATAGGCACCATAACCTTTATATCACCTATGTATACAAATTGTACAATCTTCATATGACCTATAATAATCAGATCGAGGCTGCCAGGGCACTGTTACTTTACGCGAACACACTCAGTGTGAGTTTTGATTTTGTTTATCAATATTTTAATTGGTTCAACTGTAATAATATAGTTCATAATAATTTGTGATTGTCGAGAAGTATTTCCTACCGATTCCTATTTTAGTGGAATGATACTGAATTAGATGAATCCTTAATTGCCAGAAGGCTCAATAGGCACTGTGCAGTGGAAAGACAATTGAAAGATAGTCTCTTGTGTGAAGCTGCAGATCTCTTCGCTGAAGGTGAAATGTGGGAAGATGCAATAAAAATACTGAAGTGAGTTAATATTCGATTAACTAGCCAAAGTTAAGGAGAGTTTGATCCTTGAATTTTGTCAACATAAACATTTTCAGGGAGCTCTTACCTGTTTACGAGATTGCATATGTCGATTACGATAAGTTGGCTTCGCTTATGGTCTGTTTCCTACTCTCTAATTTGTATGAGTCACTATTAAAATATATACCTTAAGGTCAGGATTGCCGAGCTTTATCGTAAGATCGATCGCGAGAATCGTGCCTTTTTCTACTACTATCTTGTGGCATTTTACGGAAAAGGGTTCCCTTCATATCTAAATGGAATTAGGTTTGCTCAGTTGTCGTTTATTGTAATCAAGCTTTTCTTCTTGAAAGATTCTACTTTCCAAGGTCATTTCAAGACTATATGATACAATTATAATTATAGCTTCGTCTTCCGCAGTGACAAGCTAGAACGACATGCTGATTTCATGCAGCGTATGCAGCAGGTACTTATTACCCTTTAAGCTGTTCGGAATCGATCATGACTGCTATTAGAGTGGAAGCTGTAACTAGTCTCATAGCCTTCAAAAAGCTACGGTATAGTGGTTCAAGCGAAAGAGTCACAATCAGTAGGAGATTATTCTAAGAAAAGGGGGTTGTGCACTTGAGAAAGGCATTTTTATGAAACTGCAAAGACGTTTCTCGATAACATAAATCATGTATAATAGTCTTTTAGATTTATGGCAACCCCGAAGCGATCATGTCCATGGACGACTGTTCGCATCTGAAAAATTCACCCGGTCGATATATGCAGGTTCGTAAATTTTTATTTTTTCTATAGTGCCCAAATTCCTCATTTTTATTCTCTTTTTTGTCTTCGAGTGGGCACCAAGCATCTTATTGTAGGTATTCAACGTCGATCCAATACCTACGACTTGTCCGTTTAATGACGCTCACGTCAATCCTGCTATAAAGGATTACTATCGTCACTATAACGTTCGTTCTTTTTCAATTTGAAGAGACTTTGTTAATTTTTTTTACAATTCTAAAAAAAGATCCACTTCATCTTCAGATTCGTGACTTTGAATATAGTCGAGTGGAAGAGCGAAAAGGTACGAAATGGACTTCGGTGAAGGATTCTGAGTTGATGCGAACGTGGATTGTAAAGCGAACAGTGGTGACGTACGAACGACTACCGGGCATTTTGCGGTCTACGCAGGTAAACGCTTTTTCATCAAGTGTCACCTGAACCCCCTGAAAGTGTAACTGAACGATTGCTGAATAATCCTTGTTGCTTTATCAAAGAAGCTTAATAGGCCCAGTCTCCTAATAGTGAAAGGTTCCAGTCATAATCCAGAATGGTAAAAGCAGAAGAACCAAGAAGTAAACGAAGAGAGAATTAGTGAAATTAAAAGATACAACGAAAAATGATTTGTTTCGCCTCCTGACTCAAACTAATCATGTTTTTACGCTAGTCCCCGAGGCTAGCGAGGCTCGTTGCCTTATCGAGAGAGCTTAATCGGCCCAGTCTTCTAAGCTGCAAGGTATAGCAGAGGTGAATAAGAACATGTAACTAGCAATTTTGTTCCATGACTGGATTCCATACTTGNTCGCGGAAAACGATGGAAGCCTATCCTTTGACCATTTCCTTCCCACTCCTGCCAATCGTGACTTGATCTTGCTTGTATATTTATCGTCAAATTCTATTACAAATGTGTCACCCTCAATTTGACGAGGTTCCTTGGATTGATGCCTTGAGAGAATAGAGCACTTGTCAAAGAGGAACTGCCCACCTACATGAGATGGCTCATGACCTCAAATCTATTGGTCGCCAATGTTGGCTGAAGTTTACGGCTAAAGCTCCATCAAGCAGTCTCAGTGATATGCGTTCTGGAAATTTCAAGGAAAAGTCGGCAGAAGCGAATGGTGGGGCGTTGAGACAAATGTTCTCATCTGATAAACTTCTTTACAGATAGTCTCTACTTCGCCACCAATCTATGTTAACCCTTTACGGCGTTCCGTCGATCAGATGCAAAAGAAGAACACCGAGCTTATGGAAACGGCCTTACTAGTACTACTCAACAGAACGCATGCAGTGAAAAAACTTTCGGGAGAGATTCTTGGTGTAGTACGTCCAGCTGTGATGGGTGGTGTAAGTAACTATGAGGTGAGTTAAGCTGGAATAAGCTCATGTACAGCTATTGAGCGTTCGATATTTTGTCCTTAGTGAAAAAAACCTGAAAAAAACTGTTCCCTCTGAAAAATCTGAAAATGTTGAAGGTATTCTTTTCTGATGAATGCTCCAGAATATACGATTCTGAGGAAAAACAGCTTGCTATGCATCTGAGCGCTCTGATAATTGAACAAGTCAGTTTCCCTTCCGTCTGTCTACCATTTTGTCTGGAGCTCAAAATACTTTTCTATTCCGTTATTTTTTTCAGGTGGAGATTCTAGAATTCTGTCTTTATGCCCATGCCACTCGCACGGAAATCACGAAGCAGTTCCATGATCACCTTGTCGAAGGCTTTTATGAGCACAAGCAATACGTCGAGGATAAATTTGGTCGAACGGTAAAATTCGCTGATTTTTATTCAAGGAACGACACTTTGGAGTGGTGGAGTGGAAAACTCTTCAATGAACCTTTGGTCTTCCCAAACGTCTTTCTGAGCTGAATGCCGTCCTTCCTACTCAAAAAATGACGTTAAATCACAGCTAACAAGGGAAGGATCCCAAGTCGAAGTGGCCATTTGAAATGGGACCCATACAGCTAGGCGTATTTTTTGACGCTGATTTCAAATCTGCATTCAAAATCTGCCAAATGATTCTCTGAACGAAGTTATGGAGGTGGTCTCCGGAGCGCTCAACAGAGGAAAGCACAAAAGCCTTGGTCGCCGGCA